CACAGGGACCCCAACCCCTTCTCCAGCTGTCACCACCACAAGCACAGGGACCCCGACATTTCCAGGCACAGCACCCACTGCTGGGTCAACCACCCCCAAATCCCAACCTGAGTCCTCGACCCCTCCGACCTCTCAGTCCACCTCCTCCCTTTCCACGGTGTCCACCACACTTCTCAGCACCTCCTCGCCTGCCTTGGAGACCTCTAGCACACCATTGCCCTCCACGCCAACGGCACCAACGGTTACGACGACAGGAAGCCGCACCCCTTCCCCACCGCCAGGATCCCAGGTCCCCACGCCTAGCACCACCGCGACCCCTCCAGGTAAACAGACTCATGGAGTCACCATGTTCTTCTTGCCTGGAACCTCGCCCAGTACCAGTGCCTGCTCTGCACAGCAAGAGCCTGTCCCAGGAAGGTTGTCCGAGCTGTGTGTGCCTCCCTGCCCACGGAGCACGATCGTTGGGTGTTTGGGGAGTGCTGGGCCGTGGCTGGTGTGGGCAGCAGAGCTCGAGGCCATTGTGCTTCCCACCCAGAGGCTTTCCTCAGGTGCAGCTGCCTTGCCCACTTCCCTCTCCCCACTGCTGTGTGAGGTGGCATTGTGTGCAAAGCCTCTCCCTTAGGAGCCCACTAGGGCTGTCTGCGGCAGGGGTTGCCAGCGAGGGCCCTGGGCATCCTGTCTCCTTCTGCTGGTGCTGCCCTTCCTGGAGCCTTCACAGCCAGCCATCCTGGCACCTCCCAGGTGGACCAGTGTCCTGCACCGAGCCCTGTCCAGCCACCTCTTAACAGCAGCACATTTGGCAAGCAAGCTGTGACACCTCCTGGAGTGCCAGCTCCCCGTTGGTCTCTGTGTCACCACGAGATATACAGGGCTGCCTCAGCCCTCACCCCCACCTGCACTCTCACAGGAACCACCACCCGCGGAACTGCGACTGGGCTACCTCCACCTGCCTCTGTGTCAACAACCCCTGTGGGGATCCCCACCCGGCCAGCCCTCCCCTCGACCACGACCTCTAGCACCTCCTCCTCCATGGCACCCACCCCCACGCTGACGCCGATCCCCATCCCCAGCATCAGCATGAGCACCGGCCCTGAGGTCAGACCATCCACCGGGATCGGGTGCTGCAAGCTGAACGATACCTTCTATGCGCCAGGTACCCATCAGTCACTCCTGGCTCCTGTGCAGCTGAGGCTAGTTTTGGTTCTGGCTCTTCCTGACGCGTTAGGAGTCAGCTCAGGAAGCCAGATGCTGGCTGTGGGTGCATGTCTCCGGGGCATGGGGGCTTCCCTCTGTGACCTCCGTGGGGACCTGCCAGTGTGTGCCCCTGGATGAGGTGAGGACTGGGGCTCTCTCCCCTTGCAGGCGAGCTGGTGTACAATGGCACACATGGAGACACGTGCTACTACGTGAACTGCTCACTGATCTGCACCCTTGAGTTCTACAACTGGTCGTGCCCATCCACGCCCTCCCCAACGCCCGCGCCCTCCAAGCCAACGCCCGCGCCCTCCAAGCCAACGCCCACGGCTGTGCCCTCCAAGCCAACGTCCTCCCCAACGCCCAGCACGCCGGCCACCACCAAGCGCACTGGGTGCCCTGACTTTGATCCTCCCAGACAGGTCAGCAGGCTGTGGGTGGCTTTGTCCCCTTGGCAGTGAGTGTCCAGGCACCATCTTCCTATTGGCCGTCTGAGGTCTGAGGCTTCTAGCAGCCTCTCAGGTGCAGGATCTACTGAGCCCACCACCCCTAATTGTGCCCGCCATGCCTATGGAGATGGCCGGCTGCAACGAGGCCCCCTTGGCCTCCAGCCTCCTGGGCAGGGCTCTTAGGCACTCATGCTCCAGAACACAGCCCAGCCCCTCCTATGCGGGCACGGGGGTCTGGCTGACTGCCCCTCACCCTCCCACCCATAGGAGAACGAGACCTGGAGGCTGTGTGAATGCTTAATGGCCACCTGCAAGCACGACAACACGGTGGAAATTGTGGAGATGGAGTGCAAGCCCCCACCCATGCCCACCTGCTCCAACGGCCTCAAGCCTGTAGCTGTGCCGGACCCTGATGGCTGTTGTTGGCACTGGGAGTGTGACTGTGAGTTCCGTGGCTGCGGGCAGGTCCCCTGGGGTGTGGGGGTGCAGACCCACTTGGTTGCTGATCGGAGGACCCCGTGGTGGGCCAGGCAGACCAAGGACGTGCCTGGCAGAGTGAGGGCACCTCCCTGCAACAAGGATGCTTCCGCCGTGGGCGGCAGAGTGGGCTTTGAACCCTGAGCCTTCTGCCTCCAGCTCCAGGCCCCACGCTGCAGAATGGCCCCCCCCGGGCTGAGGGGAAACTCACTTTTGGGGGCCCGGGGCTGAGTCGGGTCAGCTCTAGTTCGGACGCCATGCGTGCCGTACGCCCGGAGCCGGGGCTGCAGACCTACTCAAGGTTCCGTGGATCCTGACCTGGCCGAGGCTGTTCACGGCTCACGGAGCTCCCTCCACAGGCTACTGCACAGGCTGGGGGGACCCACACTACGTCACCTTCGACGGGCTCTACTACAGCTACCAGGGCAACTGCACCTACGTGCTGGTGGAGGAGGTCACGCCCACGGTGGACAACTTTGGGGTCTACATCGACAACTACCACTGTGACGTCAACGACAAGGTGTCCTGCCCCCGGACCCTGATCGTGCGCCACGAGACCCAGGAGGTGCTGATCAAGACCGTGCAGCTGACGCCCATGGAGGTGGAGGTACGCCAGGCGTGGTCGTGGCCTCCCAGTGGGGCTGTCGTGGGCTCCGTCATGTGGCGGTCCCTTGTTAGAACAGGTTCCCCTTGGCCCCAGGAACAGAGAGGCGGAGTCACCGAGGCTGCAAATGGCAAAGGAGTTTATTGGCTAGCTCGAGCTAGGGTTCAAGTCCCAGAGCACCAACGCAGTGGCCTCCCTATGAACCAGGACCCCACCCTGGGGTAAAAGTGAAGCTTTTATACTTTCTTTTGCACACGACACACTGGTGGCACACGACACGCAGGTTCCACACGACACGCTGGGCACACCATCCCCCTCTCCCCTTAGTCCATTGGTTTTTTTGAAAGTGGCTGATTGTTTTGACTCCTGATTGGTTGGCTCCAAGCCCCGGGATTTTCAATTTTCGCGCCGGCGCCAGTTGTGGTCCGCGTTTCGGTTTCGGGAAAACTGAAACTTAGGCCTATTCCAGGAAATTCAGCTTGTCATGGAGTCACTCCTGCTCTTACTCCTATATTTAACAAACAACTAAAAGCGAGCACGGCTACAGAAACAAATGGCATCAGTTAGAATCAACGAGAACACGTTTTTTTAATCTCAGACAATTTGTTTCACACAAAACAAAGTACATTCTCCTACCATCAATTCCTGTCTTTCACCTAAGTGGCAGAGGACTGGGCTGCAGGGCCCCGATTGGCCTGTGGGAGAGGGCAGGGCCTAGCTCAGGGCCATGTCAGCTCTTCTCACAATACCCTGGGGCCCCCACGCGTGCTGCCGGGCCCAGCTCCCTCGCTGAGCACAGGGCCTCTGCGCACGCCCAGCTGAGACCTCCCTACCGCGTGGCATTGTTGGCTCTGATGGCCAAGAGGCCTGGGGAGCCCAGCACCTGCACGGGGGCCCAGGAAGTGCCTTCCCGGGCTGAGTCCCAGGACCACCTGGGATGCGGGGCTGCTCCTGTGGGTTGGAAAGGGAGCCAGGAAGGCAACAGGAAAGGGGGTGGGGGTGGAGACCCCCTCCCATGTGCAGGCCTGAGAGCAGGTGGGTGGTGGCCCTGTCCGTCAGGCTCACCTGTCCCGGAGAGTGCCCAGGTGGCCACCAGCTGCTGTGTCACTGCAGGTGCAGGTCAACAGGCAGGTGGTGGCGCTGCCATACAAGAAGTACGGGCTGCAGGTGTACGAGTCGGGCATCAACTACGTGGTGGACATCCCCGAGCTGGGCGCGCTGGTCTCCTACAACGGCCTGTCCTTCTCCATCCAGCTGCCCTTCCGTCTGTTTGGCAACAACACCAAGGGCCAGTGTGGTGAGTGCACGGCCCCCGCCGGCTCCCGCATCCTGCGCCCGGAGGCTGGCCTGGCCCTGGCTGGGTGCCGGTCCCCTTGCCCAGCTGTGGCCCCTGTCCCCTGCTTGGGCCGCTGTGGCCAGCGCCCTGTGTCTGGTCCCTGTGCGGAGCCAGCAGGGTCGGCCTGGCCTCATCCCTGCACGTGGCCTGGCCCAGCCGGTACCAGGGGACTGGGCCGCAGCAGGGGAGGGTCGCCCGGTCTGTGGGGGGCTTGGGCTCGGCACTGGCGCCACAGGGCCCGTCTCGCACTGCAGGCACCTGCACCAACAGCACTGCGGACGACTGCATTCTGCCCAGCGGGGAGGTCGTGTCCAGCTGTGAGATCGCGGCTGACCAGTGGATAGTGAACGATCCCTCCAAGCCACACTGTCCCCACGGCAGCTCCACAACCAAGCTCCCGGCCACCACCCTGCCCGGGACCAGCACCCTGGCCCTCCCCGAGCACTGCACCGAGTCTCCGCTCTGCCAGCTTATCAAAGACAGGTGACCTGCCCGGCTCAACGTGGCTGCCGTGCAGCCCCTCCCCAGCTCCCCAGTGCGGGGGCTGTCTTGTTAGCCCCTATCCCCCTGCCCTTTCGACCTTCGCAGCCTCTCCCGCCCTGGTGGCGCAGGGCCCGCTGAGCTTGTGGCCGGGGTGGCCCAGCTGACCCCACAGAGCTGGCACTCGGGGCTGGGGCTTGGGTTTGGGCCTCGGCAGTGGGGGTGGGTGCTCCTGAGGCCGGCAGCCCTGGGGAACCAGCGCCCCATCCCCAGAGGTGTGGGCGTCGTGCGGAGGTGAGGGACCCTGCCAGGGCTGCGGGGGGGGGGACCCTGGCACTGTGACACTTAGACACACAGGAGCCGGGCTGCAGTGCTACCTCCTGCTGAGGCTGCCTGTCCCTCTGGGCGCTGAGCGGGCCCAGGAGGGCAGCCTGGAGGGAGCTTGCTGGGGAGCATGGGGGGCGGTGCTGCTCGCCGGGCTGCCAGAACGTGACCCGCCCTCCCCACACAGCGTGTTTGCGCCCTGCCACGCCCTGGTGCCCCCCCAGCACTACTACGACGCCTGCGTGTTCGACGGCTGCTTCGTGCCCGACGTGGGCATGGAGTGCGCCAGTCTGCAGACCTACGCAGCCCTCTGTGCCCAGCAGGGTGCCTGCATCGACTGGCGGGACCACACCCACGGGGCCTGCTGTAAGTGCCCGCTGTGTCCCTGGTGTCCCGCAGGGCGCTGCGCCTGGCCTGGAGCTAGGTGGGCCGGGACCGGGCCTGGGGCCGTGGGGCTGCAGGGGCCGGGGTGCGGGGAGTCCAGCTTGAGTCCCAGCTTGAGAAGGCTGTGCCAGGGCCGAGGGTGGGTGCCGTGGGGCGCCGGGGACACGGGCTCCTCCCCTGATTGGCCCTCCCGGTTCTGCGTCTGTCCTGCAGCCGTCGAGTGCCCGTCTCACAGGGAGTACCGGGCCTGTGGTCCCACGGAAGAGCCCACCTGCGAGTCCAGGTATGTCGAGGGAGGCTCCACCCGCCCGCGGGCTCGCCCCTCCGGCAGTGTGTCTGGGCGTGGGGCCCGGCGCGCCTGCTCCCCAGCCCCGCGGTGCCAGTCCCTCTCACGCCCGTCTGATGAGGCCTCTGCCCTCCAGCCTCTCCGCGCAGAACAGCACCAGCCTGGTGGAAGGCTGCTTCTGTCCCCAGGGCACCACCAGCTACGCGCCCGGCTTCGACGTCTGCGTGGAGACCTGCGGTACGGGGCTCCCTCGCGCTGCCACCTCCCGCCTCTCCTGGGTGTCCCAGAGGCTGGGGCCA